CCTTTATGCCCTGAAACTGATTTATTGCTCTGATTTATTATTGTGGTGTAACAGTTTTAGACCTGAACAAAACCTGATTGGAGCAGGTGAGGGATACAGCATAAGTTACCATGGGGATTTACCTCGGCAAAAAGTGAACATCCTTTGTATTACTAACAACCTGAATTAAAACCTTTAAGTTACTGGATGACCAAAAATTCTAAAAAAAATTTTCATCGATCACACAGATATTGATCCAAAAAACAACCTGAATAAAATTATTTGAGGATGACTTCGTTGTATACATGAAGCAATTTTATTCTGAAGAAGTTGCTCTTCTTATTCTGGGGGGGTCCAAGTTAACAAAGAAAATTACAGACAAAAAACATCATCAATAAATGATAAATGAATGCATGAAATCATTGAATAAACAAATAAATACATAAATAAAAATGTACTATATACCCTTATGGAAGGTCCGTCCAGACTCCTGTCTTTGTTTAGCCTGGAGACCTGTTAGAAGTAGTCTGACTATATATATATATATATATATATACATGCACATAAAGCAATTACTCTCAGTTGTTACCTCCTTTCGCTATGGTGTTTACTCACTAACTACAGTTATTCTTATTTAACTGAGCATGGAAAACCCTGAGCGTAAACAATTTTCCCGCACAGATGTTACCTGCATTGGAGCTCATTTGACATCAAAAAGCACCATAAAGGTAGAGTGAGTACACTGTTAGTGCATGATAATCACTGTAATCAAAGCATTATGGCATGAGCACGATACATCATAGTGCTGAAACACATTCCTCACTGATATGATCAGTTTCCCTTTTGCAGCCACATGAGGTCAGTGTTGTTCTAAGTTGAGAGCCGTGTTTCCTCCCGCTGCTGTCCATGTCCTGAATCTGAGGTCAACACATGAGATCCCATTCTGTGACCTCAGTAGGGAGAAGAAATGTGCTGCTTCAGGATCAGAGGAGCCAGGTCTGAGATAGTTATACGATGCCAAGTGTGAGCAGTGACAGTCTGATGATGCCTGGAACAAAGGCTCTTAGAAGCATGGAGCAATGTCAAGGCAATAGTTTCCATGCAACAGAAATATAAATGGAAATGTCTTCATAGTAAAGCAGCTGTAATTGTGATTGAAAAAACATGAAACTGGATTTTAAGTGGAAACAATTCTGCGGCAGAGAGATGCTGTAGGGCAGAGTGGATTACACCACAAGCTTTTCATGACAGTTTTGTGTATTTATGTGGATTGAAATTTAAGCCAAGATGTCCTTCTTCCTTTGTTTAGAGAGGAGAGGAGCATGGTGAGAATAAGAGGTTTGATTGCACCATTTTTTTGTTTCGCTATTTGGAAAGATTCCTGGTGTATGGATTTGCACTGGAAAATTTGATCCACTTTTTATTTGAAACCTTATTAAGAAGCCTTGTGTCACTATCAAATGTAATTCAATGCATATCCGTTGTAAGTGAAGCAACCTCAGTGACAACAGACCAAATCCTGTGAGTTACAGCTGATCAGCCACTAGTGTTTATTTAATTATTTACTATTTTACATCATTTATTCAATAAAATGTCTTGCTTTATTTCCTGTCAATTTCACACACACACCCCACCCCACCCACATTACCACAACTAATAGAACTGTTAACTCATTTACTTATTATCCAGCTCAATGCTAAGCTTATGTAGTTAGCTAATGCATCCTCTTACCTTGAAAGTATGCCCAGCTTAGTTCCTACTATGTCTCCTGTTTTTACCCACTATGTTGAGTAAAACTGATGGAGATTTGACTTGCCATTTTCCTATTAAGTTAAGCTAATATAGTGTTCTTCTGAAATCCTTTTAAGTAGGCTAACACTTGGTTACTACTATGCTTAAAAGGCCAAGCTAGTTAGCCTTTTGTGCAATGTTTCTCGACTTACTAATGCGTTAAGAAATGTACCGATATGTTCATTAACATTTAAATGGGTTATCGCAGATTAGGCTCTCCCAAATCCGTCTCAGTTCATCCAATGCAGTTCGTAAATGATGCGCTATTTGCCTCAAAAGTAGGCTAATGCTACTTCACAACTTTTCTTAAAAGGCTAAGCTATTTAGCCTTGCGTGCAATGTTTTTTTTGAACACATGACTAATGCTTGACAAAATGTTATACAAGCAATATGTTGGTTAACATTTGATTGGAGATTACCCTTACCTAAGTACTCCTGAGTTCAGCTAATACTGTTAGCAGATGATGTTTTCCTTTCAGTGGAAGTAGGCTAACACTCACTTGTCACAACTCATAAAGTGCTAAGCTAGTTAGCCTGGCATGCAACGTGTCTTAACACACTGTGAGTTAAGAAATGAACCCCTTGGTTTTGTTGCTGGAGATTAAGGTTGACTAAATCTTACAGTTCAGATTATGAAGGAAGCTAATTATAAGGTCACTGACTTAGAAGTGAAATTTGGGTTCAGTCCAAATATCATTAACTCATTAAGTCATCTTAGTATCTAGAGAGTTTTATGTAGCTGACCCTATAGAGCTTAATCCTCATCTGAAAACAATGAAACAGTGCTACAAAATTGATTTTATGCTATTTAATATAGTATATGACAAATAACAATTAGGATACAAAATGATGGAGTATGCTATGAGGTATAAAAGAATAGAAAAGAATGGGAAATGACATAATACAGAATTATGATGTGATATGATATGATATGCAGTGCAATATTAGGGGTTGTTATATAATACTAAATGATACTGAATATCCTCATTTGATTCAGTACGTTGTGATGTGATGTGGAGCATTATGATATGAAGCAATATGAAATTATGTCATATGTTGCATTATAATAAAGAACCGTAGGAGACGTAACATTTCAGTATATTTGGAAATATTACATTAAACAAGATGTCATGATATGATAGAATCAGTTTGATAGTACACAATGTAAAAGTATATAATATATTTTTTTCTTTTTATTAAGCATCAGTAAAAATTTATATAGATGAACATACAGAGGGATCACAATGCTCCTATTTATATAATATAATAACACCCACCCCCCCACCCCCCACGAACATGTTAGGACATCAATACAGAAGAAAAAAAAGAGAAAAAGAGAAAAAAAAAAAGAGAAAAAGTTCATACAGTATATGTATCTATAGAATATTTTTAACGTTCTACATTGTAGTACAATAGGAAAGGAAAAGATAGGAAAGAAAACAATACAATATAATAGAACATGACAGCATGCAGTACAATACTGTGTTATACTGTACAATACTATAGTTTTACAATACAATGCAACAGGATGAGATACCTTATAATGCTGTACTATATGACACCAAAGGATATGAAACAATGTGAAATGATGAGATGCAAAACAACACAATATCATACTTACATAAAACATAATAATTATAATAATAGGATAGGATTGGATGGCACTTTATGATTAAATACAATACAACTCTAAAAGCAGAGTCGAATTAATCCAATACCCTTTGCTCCTATGTTACAGGCTTAAAGAGGACGAAAAGGCACCGTCTTATTTCTGTAAATGTCAATTTACTTCGACATGTTGAAAATCCAAAACTTGACTGTCCTTTTATGCGTTTAAAATTGTTCCAAGATGTATCTCAGCCTGTGCTGTTCAGAAAAGCGTCTCAGGATATTCCTGTTATCTGTCTCGATGTGAATAATGTCCATCAAGAATTCAAATACTCTTAATTGTGAAATCAATTCATTATTTCAGCGCTACGTTTGGAGTCTGTGATCAAAACCAGATCAGAGCAGGGTGTGTAGTCATAAAAAGCCGCTTCCCAAGGAATGTGAGGTCTGGAGACTTAGGTTGGTGAGTTAGCTGACTCGGTGAGCCCCCGGGGGGAGAGTGGAGTCGTTGACCCGTGGCCAGTCTTCCTCCGACAGCAACGCACCTCACATATTATCACCCAAGTGAGTCATCACCGGCACGTCAACATCACTGAGGTTTTTCATGCCAATCTTCCTATTGCTTTTTTAATCCCCCAGCGCGCCTCGTTTGAGCAAATTTCTCTCCCTCCCCCTCTCCTTTTTTTTTTTTTCTCACTCTCTTTTGCTTTATATCTCTGCCTCCCCCCACCTCACCCCGCAAACACACACGCCATCCTCCCCTGTACGCTTCCATCGCATTCTGCTGCAAATTGGACGTGTGCCAGTGGAGTTACACTGCTGCTGTGTGTGAATGTGGCAAGTCTATTTGTGTGTGTCTAGGTCTGAGCCTGCATGTGTGTGTGTGTGCAGATGCAAGAAATGGGTGTGTGTGTGTGTTCCTTATGGTATTTTTTGCAAACATGTGAATTCAATTGACGTCTGAAGACAGGAATCGCAAAGATGTGTGCGTGCGCGTGCGTGTGTGTTTCAGGACAAATGGATGAATGGGCATCTGGGTTCACTGCATTTAAGGCCTCGTTTGTGTGTGTGTGTTAGTGTGTGGATGTGTTGAAGGAGTGAAAGAATGTGAGAAAAAGAGGTATTGGATGGGTGTTGTCTTACAAGCCACAACAGCACAGTGCAGAAAGAGGCATTTTTCAACCAATTTATTAATCCTTTTAGGCAATGTTCCCTGTTCAGAAATGCAAATTGAATCAATCTGAGTCTGACTTTTAAGACTTTCAAGTGGGATTTAATTAGAAGCCGAGGCGCACAGTTTTAATGAGAGAGGGGGCGGAGAGAGAGGGAGACACAGAGAGGGAGAAAACGGGGGAGAAAGAAGAGAAGGGGAGGGGAGGTGGTGTTTTAATGCTATTCCTGTGGGATCGGGGTGAAGGACACAAACCCAGCGCTGACGGCTTTCTTAAAAAGAAGAAAATTCCTTCGTTCTATCTGACCATCTGTCCATCTGTCCCTGCTGCCCTTCACCTTCGACTTTGCTGTTTACGCCCAGGGAGGGGAAGGGAGTAGGGGGGTTCTTTGGGTGTGTTTTGGTGACACTACCCGATCCACTCCAAACCCTCACATCGCCCTCAGCAGAAAGAATTGCCCCACATCCTCCGCCAGTGGTTCTGCAATCTCCATCTCTGAATCCTTTGTCCTTTTGTGCTGCTGTTATTTACTCCAATACCATTTCTCTTTCCTCCTCCTCCTCCTCCTTCTTCTTCTATTCCTCGCTGAGATTCTCTAACCCCCCTCATCATCCTCCCATCATTTTCCGAGCCCTAAGCTGACTGAGCCTCCCAAAGCCATCAGGTCTGATTGTCTGATCTCGAGGCATCGAGTCCGCCGGCTGAAATGAAAAATGAGGATTCCTCTCAGCCTCTATTTTTATTCTGTTTTCATTCTCTCTTTCATTCGTCTCTCCCTAGTCTCCCCCTTTTTTCTTTTTCCCACCTCTCTTTCACGCTTTCCATCATGCCTCCCTCTCGCATACACCTCTCTGTGGGCTCTTTCGCTCATGTTTCTTCACCTTTTGTGGCCTTCCTGGAGCCTGCCAATCTCACCCCATTCCTCCTCTCATTTTGTGTCTGCCCTCCGTCCTCAGCCTGGATGACTGGCAGCTGCACTGGCATGAGAAGATGTGAGGGGAGCTGGCGACAGGGCAGGAGGCAGAAATCTGTGCTTGATGGTTTTAGATTACATCCTGCAAGTCACTACAAATCCTCTATCGTGCACACACGGGGGGCTTTCATGAGTACACATGAACAAGTGTGAGGAAAAGTTATAAAAAAAAACAGTTTTAAAGTTTTTATTTCTATTTTGTTTTGGCTATTATTAATTAGATTTTATGTCATTAAGTCTATATTTTCAAGTTTTTATTCTTTTAAAAGAGTTAGTTTTAGTTGAGTTTGTATTAGTTTGGTGTTAATTTTAGTTTTTCATGATTTGGATCATTGAGCAGGTGCAAGACCTTTAAAACAGACCGGGAAGGGGGACAGCGTGGTATCTTCAGCACAACACAGGGGATCTGGATCTAGTGTCAGTGCTTTCTTAGAGTTCACTGTCTCTGTTAGACCCCATTCATGCAGATTCATTTACCGATAACAAAGGACAATATTTAAAGTTTCCATCAATGTCGTTTTGTAGCTCAAACACGCTTTCACTAGTGTTGTGTCGTTCGCGAACGATTCGTTCAAAAGAACTGAATCTTTTAAGCGAACGAACTGAACCGAAACACTTCCTCGAGTGATTTGTTCGTTTCTCACTTCAGTTGAGCTGAAGTGAGGAACAGCATCACCAGGCCAGCAGCCGGCAAACAAGGGACCACATGCACCGACGCCAGAATCACTTGGTGAACGAATCACGTGTTGAACTGAACTCTCTGGAATCATTTTTGTTGGACAAAACTACCTTTTTTTTTTTTTAAACGTTTAATTGCCATCACAACAACTTGTATACAATAGGACACAGCATGTAACAAGTAGTGCATAAAACCCACAGCATCCTATCATTGCAGCGGTTTGCGAGGGAACGGTGCATGTTCAGTGTGAATTCTTCTGAACGAATCACTCACTCAGCCCAGTTTACCAAGGAAACCTGATAAATGGCATACAATAGGACAGTACACTTAAAACATCATGACTTATAAACAAGTTCATTTTTACAAACCTGTTTGCCAAAGCAACACAGCCAAACACTCTTGTCTCCCAGTCCCAGAAGCTATGAATTGAACTGAATCCTTAAACATTCAGCTGTGTATCAGTTCAAGAGGTCGGAGTCACAGGGTTCTCCCGCCAAGTGCTAAATGATTCAGTGATTTGGTGAACGAATCTTTTTAGTGAACTGATTCTAGTGATTCAGTACATCTAAAAGAACTGCTCCGCCCATTACTACACCACTGAGTCACAGTCACCGTTTGATGTTTTATGTCTTAAAAATCTGTAGATTTAAAAAATGTAAATAAAAAGAGTTTGATCAAAATTCTCTTTACTAAAAAATCCTCAAATCCCATTTTAAGAACCTTTCCAATCATTGCCATTTGTGTTTGAGTTTACTGCAGGAGTTGGTGCGGCTATTTAAACAGGCTCTAAAACCACTGCCACCGTGGAATCTTATTTTTGTTGATAAGACACTGTGTCTTTCAGTTTACTATGACCTTGCAGCTGATAATTGTAGCCCAAGGATCATCAAAATGACCTCCAAAATTAGTAATGCTTTATGGTAATGTTATTATTTTCTCAGTGGCAAGAAGTGTGGCAAATTTAGTTTTGATCCCCTCAAAACATCAGATGATTTATCCCCAAACCAAATCCTAACCTGATCCCTCTGTTCTCTGGTTGTCCTTGCATATTGAGCTTAATTTTGTGAGAAATGGCAGCAAAAGTGACTCCTTTTGGATAGAAGAAATTGATTTTAAGAGAATAAGAAATTGGTGAAAGCAGCTTTCAACCACAGAGGCAATAAATACTTTACAACTGATTTTTGATGGCAAAATAGGAAATAACGACAGAATACAAGGTTTCATTAAGAAAATAGAAAGTATTCAAGGGCGCTTGGAAGAAGGGGACACGCTAAGATAACAACATAGACAAACTTTTGGGGGTTTTGGAGCTAGTCTTACATGGATGCTTGAGAAACTGCAGTGTTTTCCTCATTGCTGCTTGGCTATTATGAACAAGACCAGCTAATTTGTGATAGCAGAAATGTTCTGTGTTGTGAGCTGTGAACTCAAATTTATAAATATTTATAAAAACTACAGCTTTAACAGCAAATTTGCCACAAATTCATGTATGGTACGAATGAAAAATAGCACAGTTTGCTAAAAGAGTGAGGAGAAAAAAGTACAAAGAAAAGCAAAAAAGCTTCCAAACAAGGGTGTCTAAGGTTATAGTTAGTCACACAATTTGTACTATCAGCAAACAGCCAGCAGAGTCTGCATCAGTCCTGCAGCTTCTGTCATATCATTATAGCTGTTACATTGATCCCTACTGCTGAAGTATGTCACTTTGTTATCATAGCAAAAAAAATCCCTCTTGTTGAGTCTGGAAGAGTTTAAATTGGGCAAGAACAAGTATCTGGTGCTCCTCAATTCTCTATCAATAATTTATTGTTCCAATAAACACCCCATAGGCCTAGAGCGCTTCTGTTGTGATGTCTTAATATGCAGCAATTTTATTTTGCTGCTTTTTCAGTACATGTGCATTTTGGATTTGCTTACATACGTTTGCAGCTTGTTTACTGTTTAAGTATGTTTTTTAGCAACAGTTCCTTTGCATTGTTCGTGACATTTGCACGAGTTTAAGACTTTGCATATTGGTCAGCCTTGTTGGTTCCTGTCTGAGGAATGTATTCACTCTTTAGCAGTTAACAGCTTCCTGTTCCTATTGAATAAAAAACATATATTGTGCCATGAGCAAATAGCCAACCTTGACTGTCTGGAAATGAGTGCGAGCTGGGTTACAGTGTCTTTATAGAAGTTGTATGGAAGCTGAAACTGACTCCTGATGTTTACGACAAGTTAAATGAGAACGACGTTTGAATGTTGAAATTCCTCACAAAGAGCTAAATGTGGATAAATTCTCTGTGGAGCTGAAGGCAACAACAGAGTTTTGTGATAACTCTCTGTGGGTTTGTAAAACCTAATAGCACCTTTTACACTCAACAAAGTGATAAAAAAGTGTTCAATGCTGCTTTAATGTTTCAACACTGTCTAAATACTCTTACAAAAGCCTGTGCACTTCAATTATAGCAGGCATTTGAGATTAAACACAAACATATTAATTTAGACATTGTTTTTATTAGAAAAAAACTTAACCTTAATCACAGAAATTGCTCCATCTAATGAAAAAGTTGAAAAAGAAACATGCATATATTATTTAACTTGAGAGAGCCTACAAAACATGACTGCAAACCAAAGCGAGGCAATGATCAAAGTGAAAATGAAAACTACCAATGAGGTGAAGTGATTGAGTAACTAACGGGAGGTACCTGAATAATCAAGAAGGCAGACAAGAGGGAGTTTTTTTTTTTCTTAATTAAGTAATTAATTAATTTATTTATTTTAAAGTTGTGAAAAGCAAGCAGATTGTGTCATTTCTGATCGCTTTCTTTTTTCTGGTTGTAAGATATCAGGTCACTGACATGGCCTCCTTTTGGCATCACATACTGCTTTATCTGTTTCAAGGCATCTTTGGTTTAGCATTTTAAGGTCTGTTTATACCCTGACATAACATTTGGGAAATTCCAAACCAGCTCTTTTAAAAAGTTTAGGCTTGTTAGGATAAAGTCTGAATGGCTTTGGTTGAAACTGTGCATCAAAACAACGTAGAATGCAACCGCTGTGATTGGTCTGCTGGATAACGATTCATTTCCTGTGTTAAGACTGCGTATTGTATTCCGCCTACTTGCAGCTCCCCGTACACATCTTCTCGCTTTTTCTTCTTTGCAAAAACTGCAGTATGATCAACTTCTGCTCAACTGCATTAATCAACTCCAACATAGTATGCTTGGATTCAGTCACCATTGTTTCCTGAGGACTTGAACTAGAAAGTTACAGTCATAGAAATGCACTTCCAAGTGTTTTGATGGGGTATTTTAGAGTGGCAAGGACTCTCCGATTGACAGTTAAGTAGTGCTGACAAGAGTGTACCATAGGCCTGCACGATATATCGTTTGAACATCGTCATCGCGATGTACGTGTGTGCGATAGTCACATCGCAGAGCCTGCGATGTCTGAGGGGAATGAACTCAGTTAATTTCAAGAGTAACTGACTGAGATACACTGCATGTGACTCTGCATGTGCTGTGCAGCGATCCACCAATCAACTTCGTTCTTTACCAGTTTAGTGCCAAATCAAAAATGTTAGAGTGATTTTCTTTAGCCAATCCCAGCAGCCTTTAGGACAGTGGAGCCATGTAACTCGAATATCAGGAAACCCACCCCTGCACATGTTCTGCACATGGAGTGAGACGCGTGTCCGCTGAGAATTACTTTCGGAACATTCTTCATCACTGTTTAGCCCAACAAATAAGAATTGTATGGGTTTAAATTGTACATTTCCGTGGATCACTCTACTAAAAGCGGTGCGCGTTTTGTGAGGTGCATGCAAGTCTCGGAGGACATGAGTTTCTCAGCACAACCCCGCTAACAACAACAACAACGATCGCAAACTGAGCAACAAACAGAGAAAACCACAGAAGATAAAGACTTGTTGCCAAAAAGAAAAGGAAAGTCAGTTATCTGGAATTATTTCGGTTACAAGATGGATAATGTCGACCAAAACACGTGTTCTGTGTTCATCTGTTGCCACAATAACGTCCCAGCACAATAAAAGCTAAAAATATCTCTGAGACAGACAGAAGCCATTCTACAAACATTCACAAAAAGAGGTAAGATCAGTGCAGGTTAACTGTCCTCAAGATTTCAGCAGTGCAGCATAACATTAAGTGCTATTCAGGTCATCTGGTGAAAATTCCTCTATTTTTTAATATCGCAATATATATCGCAGGGTTGAAAAAAATCGCAATATTAATTTTTTCCAATATCGTGCAGCCTTAGTGTACCATGTTGTGGCTATAGCATAGAGTCAATGAAAAAATACAAACCAGGCCCATGAGGTAGTCGTCTCTCCATCAGGAGGTTGTCGGTTTGACCCTTGTCACATGCTGAAGTGTCCGTTAGACACTGAACCCTGAGTTTTTTTCCCAAAGGCAGAAAACTTTGAGTGATTGTGTGAGATTCAATCATTCAATCGATCGATCAACTGTTTTTTGATATAGTGCCAAATCTAAAGTGTTAGGGTGATTTTCTTTAGCCAATCCCAGCAGCCTTTAGGACAGTGGAGCCATGTAACTCGGATATCATGGATACGTTGGTGTGAGATTCCTGGAGCCGGTGGCCTCCACCAACCGTCCTCAACAAGAACCTTGTACACATTTTTGACATCACTCAGGTTCACAAAATATGTTATGCTATGGTATCCCCTTATATGGGCTCTCCATATGTTCAGCTAAGGCTCCTTAAAATATGTTGTCCTTTGTTCTTACCCTACATGGACTCCTCTTCAGATCAACTAAATGCCAGCAGAATGCTTGGAAACGTGGACGACTATATATGCTTGAACAGTCTCAGACCAGTCTTTGTTACACTTGTGGCATGATGAAGCTATAAGTCAGATCTGCAACCAGTAAATCTTTGTGGACCTTCCATCCTTTAAAGTGTAAACATGGACTAGGCGTCCTTACAAAAAGTTATTTCAAGATAAACAGTAACAGCAGGTCTCAACTGTACCTTTTGTTGTATTGTTTACAAAGAACATTTGGCAAATGTGGCAAGGAAAACCTGTCTTCCAACAGGTGGACCTTGAGTAGAACCAGTCTCATGTTGAATCACCATCTGCAGCTATTGAAATAACCCACTAAACAGCATCAATACCAAATGTAAGATATTTGTTTCAACAAGTTTGTGAGGAACTATAATCGTTGATGAATTACTGGTAGACAACTTTTTTTTTACTTTATTAAACATACAAACAACATCTAAAACCAACAAACACCTTGTAACTGGACACTTCAAGTGCCTTTCCATAAATAACAGACTAATCCTATAAAATGTCCAATGGAATAACTTATCTGAATCAAGTGCTAACCTGAGCTGTGTGATAATGACAGCACGCGGCCTAAACACCTTTGCCAATAAATCTAGCTCGCCATCAGTTTGGTCTCCTCGTGTCTGGGGTTGCGGAAAGCATGGCTTCTGTCCTGCCTTAGTAGTGAGGTGAGGCAGGGTGAGGCAGGGGGTGAGGCTGCCTGGTGTCAGCGTGGTGGATGAGCTGAAGGTGTGTAAGGCGTGAGGTGATGGAGTGTGTGAGGTCCGGTCTATCGCTGTCATTAATAACCCCGACAGGCCTGCCAGCACCTTGGAGCCCTGGTCTCATACATAACCCTCAGAGCAGCCGCCAGGGCCCCACACTGGCCCCGGAGGAGGCACACACTGACACACACACACACACACACACACACACACAGAGCTCAGCTGACTTGCCTGACTACTGATGTTAACATGATAGAAAGGAGACATACATGGTGTGAAGAATAGTGCCACACCTGGAGTGAAAAAATGTCTCAGCAGGAATGCGAGAGGTTGCGGTGTTAGAAATGTGACATTCTTACATATTTTTCCTCCCCATCAACGGGCCCATTCACCCAAGACAGACAAAGGAATAAAAAATGTGAAGCAGCATGGCAGAAGTGTCTGCTCTCGTCTTTGTCACAGGGAAACACTTTCTTTACTCTTGGTGCTCCCTGGGTGAGAGTAACTCTTCAAAATCAAGATGCACTGCATACCTAACATCCTACGTTAATTTAGCATTTGTCTTGCTCCCGTGTCTTGACAGCTAAATCTTATTTCATGCTTCTGCTCTTGAACGTTGCATTTCAATACAGGTTTTTGCTGAACTTGAATGACCCAGCCTTTAGAGTTGTAAACCTTTTATCCACGGAGGAAAGTAAAAAATGTAGATGAGAAGATGTTTGACATACAGAGGGAAGATGGGAGAGGTATCTTACGGTTCCACCCACTGGTTCTGAGATATTTTGCAATAACCTTAAAAGTTGTCTCTTCATTCATTCTCACATGTTTTTAATGTGAAATAGTCTGAAAGAGGGTTAAAATAACAAATATTTTCAAGGGATGGACCTGCTTTTAAATTTGAAAATGGGGCACATGCTGCAATGCCTACTCCTGGTCCTTCAAATGAGAAAAAACAAGATGGTAGCAGCCAAAATTCTGAACTTAAAACTCTGCGGTCATTACTTAAGTTTGTATAACTAGAGAAGCAAGCGGTCGGCAACATTAATCTCTTGACAGGGTGTCTAACTCAGTGTTACGGTGTGTTTGACCCTTACTTCATTTTATGCCGGAATATCCCTTTAAGGCTTTAGTAGAGGAGCCCATGAAGAAATGGGTGATGTCAGCTACATCTACATCCACGTTTTAGGGTTAAAAGCAGACTGACAAGTCAATAGAGTAATTTTGGCTCGAAAGAAGCTTTAGAAAAAATAAAAGTAAACTTAAGAGAAAAACATTGGCAGTCAAATATGAATTAGTATTAGAAGAATGAGCAATAATGATGGAAACTAATAAGTAAAATTTATTTGATGCTAGTTTTGATTTTATATTAAGCCCTGAATCCCACAGAGGACCTACACTCACAGGCCTCTTAATTAGGTACACCTGTTCAATTACTCGTTACCACAAATAGCAGCCAATTGGTTAACAGCCAATCAGATGGCAGTAACTCATTGCATTAAGGCATGTAGATAGTTTTAGATGACTTGCTGAAGTTCAAACGGTGGCTATGCCTGTCTCTCCATGCATGTGGTAATCAGTATTGTGTGTAAAGCATTACTATGTAATGTTACCATAACGCCACTATTTGTTCTGTAATATGAGACTTTTTCAAATGTGCTCCATTGTATTTTAGTGCTGTAACAATTACTGAAATTTTGGAGGCATTATTAGATGTTACTTTACATGAAACAGCCATAAGATTAATCACCAGACTCAGGGGCAAGGTTATGCCAGTGTACGCCTTCTACACCACAGTTGCATCCTGGGAGATATTGTAAAAAAAAAAAAAAAAAAAATCTCAAGTAGTAAACACTCTCAATGGCTGACCTTTTGGTCAAGGAAATTTTGTCTTCTTGGAGTTGAGGGACAAGAAAATAATGGCGAGGTGTAGTCTGTGTGCAGGATGGAAAACTTTGTCCTCCACTTAGATGAGTATAAACCATGACAAACAGGGGCACAAACAGCCCGGTAGACCAAGGAGGAGCCACAAAACGTAAACTACCGAGGCTCAATTTTAAAACACTGCCAGCTCCAGAGTCAGTCCAAACACACTGATATAAAGGTATGTTGCTGAAGACATGCTGTCCATATTAACTGTTGATTCTCCTGCTTCCAGAGACCTAATTATTCAAATACTGCTGAGAAAAGCAGTAGAATACATTAATAGGCTGACTGAGGTGTAAAACTGACATGAAAGTTTTTCTGAATTATCAGTTACTTTAAAGACGCAGTAACTCAGAATGTAATGTAATTAAGTAAGGTTTTCGTATTTTGTTTTTTTTAAGTATTTTTTTGGCCTTTAGTGACCGGACAAGCTGGAAGTATGGAGAGATAAAGAGAGAGAGGGGAGGACATGCAGCACATGGTCAGGGCAACTGCTGCAGGAAATGTGGTCCCCACAACCCGTTGGCCATCTGCGTGCCCGTTTTTGTCTTTTTTTGTAACTTTTTTCAGTAACTTTCTACAGGAAACCAAGTACACATGCTCTGTTATGGTACTTAAGTTTTTATTTTTATTTGTCATTTTATCATATCTATATTATTAATCAAGCAGCCCTCCAAACATCTGGACCAATCTCAAAGCTGCTATTACATTCATTACCACAGTCATAAATTTACACGGTTTACAGCTCAAAGTTATTCTTGATTTAGCTCAGGCTGGTGAATTTGAAACCCTCATTTCATCTGTTGAATGAACCGCTGATTTTTAATTTCTTTAGATGATCAGCCAGTACTCTAGAAGCTTCCCCCACTGTTGCCATCATCGTTGCCGTCATCTAAAATTACAAATTATAATGCAAAGATTAGTAGGATTACTCCAACACATCTCTACCTCACAGTTTGAAACTTTTCCCAAAATTCAACATTTAATTCAACATATATAAATTCATTAGAAGAGCATAAGACCGCTTTTATAAACCTAAATAGATGGATTTGAACTTAAGGAAGTGCCAATTTTCTCGTGTTTTTTTCCGTGCATTTTGCATATATAACATGATAATAAAATATCTTTAGTTGACACTTTAATTACATTTCACAACCTGTACTTTTTTACTTTTACTTAAATCAATAAGTTGAATCAGTACCTTTTCTAACAGGAGTCTTTGTCTGGTTTCAGGCAGCAACATACAATGTCTGCAACTTAATGTTGCGACTAAGCAGTTCCATTAAGTGTCTAATATTTCCATGGGTGATTATGCATTTTAAATAGACCGAAGCCCAAAATGCACCTTGAGTAAGACCCTAAGATCTGATTATTATTTGATTACTTTGGAATGAGATCAGGCTGGGACCACAGCTCTTCCTGATCACCCAGGTATGTTTTTAGACATCAGCCTTGGCAGCCCCCTTTTTTTTCTCCCGTCTTTAATCATAGCCGAGTACCTGTCCCTCAATTATCACCCGGCTGGAAGGAATCAGAGAAATAGTGGGGTAATGTGGTGCAAAAATTCATGATGGCATTTGTGGAAGGAAAAAGAGAAAAGAAAGGGTGTGTATGGAGTAGAGGATGCAGGAGGGCAGCTCACCAAGGACTGTGTGTGTGTTTGCACGGGCAGGAAAGAGTCTCCTCAGATGGAGATGAGGAGATAAAGACAGAGATAGATTCAAGAGGAGAGGCTTTAATGAATTAATGACTGTTCTCACAACTACATGCCTTATTTCTCCGGCTCAGACACAGCCGATGAAATAATAAATAAACACATGAATAAATGAAGAGGCCTGAATGAGACGGCACTCCAGAGGGGGAGCGAAGGGAGGATGAGGAGGGGGGAGAGAGAGCGGTGGTAAGGCTGTGGATCGGCACTCGGTGAGCCTCTCTGGTGATTTGCTCCAACATCAAGCAGCTGGAGGTTGCTGAAAAATTTAGGGATGCGCGGGGAGCCAGTGAATGCTAATAGCACTGACTGACTCCCCCTTCAGCCCCCCCCTCCTGCACCAGCTCACTCTAACAGACTCTGACCACCTTCAGTCTCGGGTGACCTTGCTCTGCGGCGTGATCGAGCGGCCACTGGCATGCTAACGAGACGCCGGCTTTGGGTTTGCAGGTTTGCCAGACGCTGCAGGGCGCTAAGAGGGCAAGTAGGGGCGTCCAAATGACATGTTAGCATGACCGCGACCTGGATGGAGATGGGCAGGGTGCCACTCTGGCCAATGAGGTCTATCAGATTATTTTAGGGAGAGAAAGAGATGGCAGTTCAACTAGAGGCAGTTAATGAGGAGTGTTAGACTTGAAAACAACTTTGGGGAGCGCATAAAACAAATGAAAACATTTAACTGCTTCATATAATATTCCAGCTATTAACAACCACAATAAAGGTGCCAGTTGGCCTCTTTGTTTAAGCTCATGCTCCACGCTTTAGTCCCTCTCACTCCTGGCTCTGACCCTTTTCTACATTTCATCCCCTACCCACTACGTTAATTACCAAACAATCAACAAGTGCATCAGCAGGAGGCTGACTGGACGTACATCAAACAATGAAAATGCCATCATCTTTACAGCTCTGTATCTTTAAGACGACAATACGACAGTTTCATCTTTTTTTTACATCCTTTTTTAAATTAGCTGTGAAGACCAACCCCTTTCTCATTTGGGTGTGTGCATATATATATATATATATACCGTATTTTCCAGACTATAAGTCTCACCGGATTATAAGTCGCACCAGCCAAAAAATGCATAATGAAGAAGAAAAAACATATACTGGTATAAGTCGCATTTTTTTGGGGAAAATTATTTTACAAAAACCAAGACCAAGAACAGACATTTCATCTTGAAAGGCAAGTTATAATAATACAATAGAAAAAAGAACAACAGGCTGAATAGGTGTAGGGTATGCTAATGTAACACCATGATGGTTATTCAGCTACATGAAGCATAAACAACGAACTCAATAGGTGTCGGATATGTTAACCAGATATATTAACAGCTATTCAGATAACAAAAACATAATAAAACAAGTTTACAAAACTCTCAATCTCACTCCAAATCACTAAATATATTGCATTCCTGGCAACACTTTACAATAACCATAACTTATTAATGATTAATAGACCATTTATAAATGGTAAGCAGATAGTTTATTAATGTTTAATCATAATTTATAAATAGCATATAGACCATTAATAAGTTAATAAGACCATTAAATTTTACAATTTTGAATACCTAACCCTAACCCTAACTTTACAATAACCATCTAAGTAATGTTTATAGGTGGTTTATAAACCACTTATTAACCATTTACAAAGTGCTACTGACACACATTTTAATCTAGATGTTTTACAACCACTACATCTTTAAACCCTAAATAAACCTTTGATAAATAGTCCATTAATAATTAATGAAAATGATTAATCATAATTTCATTGCTTGTTAATGGTAAAGTAACTATTAACTTACATTAACAAACTATCTGTTTACCATTTATACTTGTTGTATATGCTGTTTTTAAATAATGATTAAATATAAATAAACTATCGATTCACCATTTATAAATTATGGTTATCGTAAAGTGTTACCGAATTCTTCATTCCAATTCTGAACAACTCTGCCAACTCTGGAGATGGAAAAAGCGCAGTTTCCTCTTCTGCGTGACTGTCGTCAGACTATATGTGAAATTATATATAAATTATATATTTTAATATATCCGACCTGAATATAAGTCGCAAACCCAGCCAAACTGTGAAGAAAAGTGTGACTTATAGTCAGGAAAATACAGTATATATATGTTTTTACTCTACCGTCAAACAGCACATTTTCTAAAGACATGGAAGCAAATAATCTAAAATTCAAGCTGTTGGTTATTACTTACGCTGAAGAGAACTCTGGAGCAGATATTATTCGTAGGTCCAAAAAGTGTCACTGAATGAAAAAAAGAACCAAAAAAAGAAATCTGATCTGGGGCTCCTGTCTGTGCAGGATGCCATAAAAAACCAGGCTACCCAGTGATAAAAGGAAGAAAGCTGGCAATGAGCTGGAGCTTAAAATATGAGTGGATATAGAAGGTATGGTATCGCATGGTGTCCTGCAAGGGCATCAGGTTGAAGGTAAAAGGAATCTACAGTGAGTGACAGGAGAGACAGGGACGAGTTTATGGTGAGTGGCGGCTCAATATATTTCTCCACTTTCTTTTGGAAAACACAAAATCAAAGAGGCCAGGCTCTTAATAGGCAATACGATGAACAATAAAATAAAACAATAAGCAAGTACTTGAAGCCTTTCTTCTTTTACTGATGTCTGACCCAAACAGAGGTAGGGTGAGTTTGTCTGATTGAAACAAATAAAAGCCAGAGCTACCAATTAAAGTTTTAAGATATTTACACTTAAAAATAAAACCCTGCAGTGAGACAACAGCACTATCTGGTAATTAAGATCCTGAGTTGTATCTGTTGGCCAGCTTCAGTTCAGCATTTTGTATATCGGGGGGCTACATATTCACTCCAGGTCTTTGTGGTTTCTCTTTGGTTCTCAGGTCTCTCTCCTCAGTCCAAAGACATGACAGTGAGTTTAATTAGTGACTCGACACTGCCTGCAAGTATGAGTCTGAGCTTGAATGGTTGTCAGTCTGTAAACGGTGGGATTGACTGCCAAGCTGTCCACCACCCATCTGATCCAAAAGGATTACAGTATAGTGCAGTAGACCATGTAAATTCTTTAAATTCGGTTCTATTGCTGCGTTTGAGTTACATTGGAAGTCAGAAGTCCGAGCTGGGAATGACGTCACATCCGAGTTAC